ATTTAAATGCTTGTCCCTTTAGCAGATTTCTTTGCCAGGGAGTTGTTTGGAAGAAAAAAAATAAACAAAGCAGACGGCTTTGTCTTGACTGACTTAATTCTGACAGTAATCTTAAATTGATCAGGGGGAGAGGGCAGGAAGTTTGGGAAAGAGAGACTTGGAGTAAGTAAGGTGAGTAGAGTGTTCCATTACTTTCTCTTTCCAGTGTAACTGATTTGCAGTTTAGGAAGGAGAACAGCCTGGCAGAAGCAACATGCTGTCCGCTCTTTCTGAAACTTCTTTTCAAAGCTTGTACTCAATTTGTTTGTTAGGAAGTAACTGCAAGCACTTTGACAGATATGCTTGATTTCTTGATTGCTTGGAATGGTAGGAACAGAGTATGGTAAAGTTTTTTTTCAGAGGAAAGTGAATTCTAGAAAGATCTCCCATTTTTCCATGCTTCCTTCTGCATGGATTTGTTTGGGAAGGTACTCTTGGCTAGGGGAATTGGACAATTTCTGATCCCCTTTCCTCCTTGCTGCCTCTCCTGAGCTTTGTTAGGCAGGGCTGTGCAGTAGCAAGAAGAGTAAAGCATCACAGAATTGTCCAGATTGGAAAAGCCCTGTAAGACCATTGAGTCCAACCATGAACCCAACACTGACCAGTCCCTGACTAACCCATGTCCCTCAGCACTATGTCTACACGACTCTTCAATCCCTTCAGGGATGGGGACTCCACCACTGCCCTGGGCAGCCCCTTCCAATGCCTCAGAACCCTTTCAGTGAAGAGATTTTTCCTGATATCCAACCTGAACCTCCTTTGGAGCAACTTGAGGCCATTAAATTAAAATCAGATCATCACCCCTGTCTTCCCCACGCCTACAGAGGAAACCAGAGCACAACCAGTTTGCAAAAGTAAAAATGAAAACTTTTCTTTGTTTACAGTGTATATTATACTAAAGCACATCTTGGTGTACAAGCAGTTGTTTTCTTTCTCCATGCACTCTTAGAACAACTGAGGGAGGGAAGTACCTTGTTGTTTAATTTCTGATAAATTTAATGTAGTGGAAAAAGCTGGTTATGTTGTTACAGCATCTAACAAACTTCCTAGAGAGTGTTGAAGACTTAATCCTGTCATGCTTTTGGGTTTTGAACTTACTTTCAAATCAGGTGCATGTTATTGAGATGAGGTGGTGTTTCTGCCTTTGTTCTTGTGGCTTTTACATTTGGATAATCTTATCTCTGAAATGAATAAATACGAAGCTGATTAGATAATATAAATTGTAAAATATTGAAATAATAGCTTATTGCCCTTATATAAATAACAACTCCCATTTCCATATTTATATTAAAGCTAGTTCACTCTCTTATTATGTTAGCTATTTTTGGTTTCACCAATTTAATTTCATCGTTGTATTAAAAGCCACATACACTAACAATCATTCCAAGTGCTTTCAAGCTATTAAAGTAATGAAATAATAATACAGTCGTTCAGAGCAGTTTATTGGCTTGCACATATTCATCAGTTATCTAGTTATCGCCTCCTCGTTTCCTCTCCTCGAGTATAAATGACAAACCACTATATAACTAATTACCTGAACTGTAAAAATATCAGTCTTAATTCTTTATTCTTTAAAAAAAGTCTAGCAGATGCTAGTTTTAAGTGAAAATAAATATCTAACGTTTGATCTTGTATGATCAGTAGAAACAGAGGCAGACAACTTATGGGAACACATCAGAATTGAATACAATGATCATGCATGGAATTAAATCTCCTTTAGATGCAGGATCTAAAAGCTAAAGGAGTGGATGCTGGGCAGAGAATATGTAACTGTCATTTGGATTATTCTCCCACACTGTTGTGAAGTTCTGTGCATATGTAGACTAGATGATGAAGTAGCCAAATGAAGCTGATGTGAAGAGAAGATGAAGGTAGGCAAACACAAAAAGAAAAGAAGGGGATATCCATAACTGTTTGAATTTAAGTATGTGGTGTTTTGTGGCCTGTTACTGCACAGTCTTATCTGTCATAACAATAACACAACCACATTAAGCTCCATTTTCTCTAAATTTGTGACTAAACTTTCAAAATTTTTCAGACTTTTTACTGTTACATATGATTTAGGAAAAAAAAATGTGTGGCTTCTGTTCATAAAAAGACAGAAAACTTCAGAGTCTCATAGTAGGTTGAAAGTTGCTTGAACTTAAGTGCCAAGTTTTCCTTTAAATGCTCTGGGACATCCAGAGGGAGTTGGCAGATGTGCTGTAGGGGAGATGGAAGACTCATGCTATTTTGGAAAGGCAGAGTAGTGGGATACCCAAGAGTCTCAAAAATTTTCAGTGTCTCTGAAAGTTGAGACCCCTGAATCTCACTTGTCCTGGACTGGAAGCACCTTCCAAAGAAAGCCAATAAAGCTGGTGAAGGGTCTGGAGAACAGTTCCTATGAGGAGTGGCTGAGGGAACTGGGGTTGTTGAGCCTGGAGAAAAGGAGGCTGAGGGGAGACCTTCTGGCTCTGTCCCAGTCCCTGAAAGGAGGGTGGAGAGAGGTTTAGGTTGGTCTCTTCTCCCAGGTAACAAGAGATAGAACAAGAGAAAACAACACTTCTCCCAGGTAACAAGAGACAGAACAAGAGAAAACAACCTCAAGTTGCACCAGGGGAAGTTCAGATTGGATGTGAGGAAAATCATCTTCACCCAAAGGGTTCTCAAGCATTGGAGCAGGCTGGGCCCGGGGGGGGGGGGGGACCATT